ACTTACAAAAATAAGTGTTACTGTAAAAGCTGCTTTTTATTTTAAAAAAACAGTTTTAATCAAAATACTTGTGTTACTTTACCCGTTCTCAAAAGTAATAACAAATTTAATCGTTACATCTAAAAATAATTCTTCGTGAAATTCCCATCAAATGATTTGGATCAATAACTAGATAATTAACTTTAAAGTGATTAATCAAAATTAATTTTTAATTGTTCCAAAAACGATTTTTATTTGTTCCAATTTCAAACACTCTAGATTCTTTTTCGAAAAGAAAAAAAAAAACGCTTTTGGCCGCAAATCAATTAATCATCCAAACACACTATAATAAAGTAAAGTAAAAAACTTATAAAACCATTTTCAAACTTCCTACATCAGTTTATTACTGCTATCAAACTTCCAAGTTGAACATCATCTTTTTCTTACAATTATTTAAATAAAAAATAAAATAAAACCTCCACCCAACAATTTCGAAATTTTTAACTCATATAAACACCGACCCAGTAGTAAAGAATTATAGCAAATAATTTAGTAATTTAACATAATTATAAAAAAATTAAAAAGGAAGTCTTCATATGTTTCCATCACTCCATTATCAAAACAATTTTCCAAATTCAGAACCCCAAAAAAGAATCAGAATTCAACTCAGATCTTCGTTCAGATTGTATCCTTCTATTAGTAATGCCTCCAAATCTTGAGTCCCATCTTCAGAGTCAATGTTACTTCTAAAATTTCCATAATTTCTTTCAAATGAAACAGGTCATTTGGATCTAAACTCAAACAAAATTCAATTTCGAAAGCCTTCTAAATGAGCCTGTGTTTCAGCTAACTCCCAATCCAACTTCTGGGTATCCATTTCTTGAATCTGTCAATTCTTGGATTCTAGAAAACCGCAAATTATATTCTAAATCTAACTGTGATAAGCATTTGAAGAATACCCAATCTAAGAACTACCGGAAGAAATACATGATTTTCAATCGTTCGAGACATCTCTATTTTGGGTTGTTATTTGGCTGACTTGGATGTCCATAAACGACTATATTTTAAGGGGGAATCTTTCCAGATATGGGGACGGCCATGGCACTACTGTGAAAGTGGCTTGAAGAGGGCGATTGGATTCGAGACTTACATTTACTGAAGAAATTTACATCGAACGATGGAAACCACCGCCGGCAAGGAGCCATTGAATTGAATTCCGCCGCTGCTCTCTCTCTCTGCAAGAGGAAGAAATCCATGGGTGGAAATGGAATTCAGAAGGAAATGTTGAATTGATGGAATGTAAGGCATTATCGAACATTACCCGTGAAATAAGCTGAAGCATCTCTCTTTGGAGAAAGCGAGACGATGGAGAATTTTTAATCTGTTGAAGAGAGAGCCCTGATTCAGCTGCAGTCGAATGGATTTTCATGCAGGGGATTGATGCCGTTCCCCGGAGTTGGTGGGTTGGCAGCCATTAACACGAGGTGCCATCTCAAAGCTTTATCTGTGAATCTGAATCAATATTAGCTAAAGTAAACAGAATAAGATCGAGTGGGGTCCCAACCTGAACAATGAACATGATCTGAGCCGTATGGGGGAACAGCAGAATCCAATCCAAAGATTCAGAGGAAGCTGTTTAAGCGCCATGGCCACTCCTGCAACAGCTGGTACTATATGTACAAACGAATATCAGAAAATTTTCGGATCAAAGAATATTGACTAATTTTCACGAAGGATGTTTATTCAGGATCGGACACAGTTCTTTAAATTAAGACAATAATCATTCAGCTCGCAGCTACATAAGACATTTCCAACATGAAAATTAAAGGTAGAAACTTCGGCTTTATTCTACATTTTGCTGTGCAGGAGGCTGCAAATGAAAATGCTTCTGAAGTAGCCGGGAAATAATGAGGTGGAACTACAATTTTTAAGCTGCCACAGTTTCCGAGGTGCCAAATTATATACATTTTAATGACCCTTTCTTTCTTACAGCTTGTTAGAACCCTGAGAGAGAGCATGACTGACGAGCTCCCTCCTGAGAATCTTCCCTGCAGGTGATTTCGGGATTGCGTTGATAAAAGATACTCGCCGAATTTTCTTGTACGGTGCAACCTGCAAGATGAAATTGGTCGAGTTTGAATCTAAGAAGACAGAAAATAGCAGAGGAGCCATGACCAGCACTCCAATGTGCAATGTCCATTTCAAGTTTCCTTGAGGGATGGAGAGACATGCCTGTTTTGCAATGAAATCAATGACTTGGTCCTCACTGATATTGCTACCAGGCTTTCTAACCACATAAGCCATAGGAATCTCTCCTGCTTCTTCATCAGGATAGCTGCTCAACAGAAGTAAAAATATCATCAGGAAGATTTTCTTGCAATGATTGTAAGAAACTTGGAATTTACAAGTTCTCATAAATCCACTAAACAGCATAGAACAATAGGTGCATACGGTATCACAGCGGCATCAATGATCTCAGGATTGGATTGAAGCAAGAGTTCCAATTCAGCAGGTGGAACCTGGAATTTGTTCCAAACAAAAGGGATTTCCAATTACTAAAGAGGTACTAAGGGAACAATAGTACAATACTGTTGACGAGTAAAGATGTCACCTGATAAGCCTTGTACTTGATCAATTCTTTTAATCTATCAACAATGTAGAGGAATCCGTCAGAATCAAAATAGCAAAGATCACCAGTCTTTAGCCATCCCTCCGGATGCAAGGTTTCAGCAGTTGCCTTGTCATCTTCAACATAACCTGCATCAAACACCATCTGATGATCTGTTTATCAGACAAGAACCAGTCCAATGGTTTTTTCTTTTTATTTTAAGCCAGGCAGCCTATCCTCAGACAAATACCTCTCATCCTAATCTCATCTGCTGAAAAGAGGCCCGGCGTAGCGTGTTCTTTTTTAAACTGCCTCCCATCACAACAATGAAGATAGTGGAGGGCCTTACTTAAGAGTTGAGTCCAAGATAGTGGCTATTAATCTACAATACACATGCCTCCTTCGCCACTTCATTAGCAGCTCGGCATCGTCCAACTCGAGCAATTAAGAAGCGAATGATGCTATTGAAGCTATGTTAAGTGACTCATTTGGGTCCATAGAAGTTCAACATCGAATTAAAATGGGAATCCCAAGGTCAAATGGATGCAATGTCATTTTCTCCCATATCAACTCACATGTTAGCAGATCAAAACCCGAGTCACGGCATATTGTGTGTTTTCAAGTAGTAAATATGATGGAGTAGAAGAAACCATGAACAGAACATCTCTAACCTTTCATGATTCCAGGACCTCGCAGCCAAAGCTCTCCTCTGTGGCCAGGAGGTAAGGCCTCTCCAGATGCAGGATCCACTATCTTGGCTTCCATACTTTCAGATAGGCGACCTACTGAACTTGTATTACTGCATTCCTCAGGCCCCAAAGTCCTTGCTGCCGCTGCTGTACTCTCTGTCAGGCCATATCCCTAGTCCAGAAAACAAACCAACATCAGTCTTTGTTCTTCTTGTTATCATTTTAGATGTTTCAATAAGGTTTAAATCCTTTTTTTATTCTTATTCTTAAACTTCCGGACATTCTTTCTTAACAAAACATCTGAGCTCCTGCAGAATCTATCTGAGTGTTTGTTTATAAATTTTTGGAAATTAACCTAAATCAGAAGTTACCTTATTCTTTAGATTTCATATCAGAACTAATCCATATAACTTTAAAATATAAATTATAAACACACCTAACATTGTATAGTTTTTTATTAAATACACTATAAGGATTTAAGAGAATATTGCAAAAACCACCACTAAATGATAAAGATGTTCATGTGCCCCAAGAGGCGGCCCAGTTGGCAAGGGCTTGAGATTACTTGATCATACTAGCTCAGAGGTCTCAAATTCGAACTTTCTAGTGAGCTTGATACCAAAAACTCTTGATGTCTCCCGAGTTCAGACCTTGGGCGAGCACAGGTGCCCCTAGGTATAGAGGACGAAAGCTCTGACTCCCCGTTATTAAAAAATATATATACATATTACAGACACACACACATAGACCCTCAAACTTTCCATTCAAGCTGGATTTAATTGCTAACAAACACCAGGCATAGGTCGTTATGGTTTAATTGTACCAGCCTAAGTAATTTCGTAGTTCTTTGATGATGAATTATAACAATAGGGTTTAATTAGAGGGCTTCATAACTATGGGTGTAATTTCTTAAATTGATAAGATCCTGTGAGTGGGAAAGGTCCAAAATATCTAATAAATGATAAAGCATAGATTCGAATCTGGCCATAGACACAGGAATATTCATCATTGATTGAAGAAAGAAATGAGGTTCATATGAATCATCGAGGAAAAGTATTTATAATTCTGGCTAACCTGTATAATTTCTACGTTGGGGAACTTCTCTTGGAATTTCTCGACGACTTCTTTCCCAAGGGGAGCGCCGCCGCATCCCAAAAATTGAAGAGAACTGAGGTCGTACTTCGCCACCTGCTCCGACTTGGCCAACGCCAGCACCAGCGGCGGAGAAACCGGAATATACGTGACCATATACTTCTCCACTGCTCTTAACATCCCCTCGAAGTCGAATCTCTGCATCAGAACCAATGTATCGCCTCGAGAAATCCCTCGAATCATCATGTAGAACCCGAAAACATGGAACAGTGGTAACAGAAACAGAGAAACCGTACGTGGCTCTATCTCTCCTTGCTCGACCAACGACGCAAGAGTAGAGTTGGCCGCAATGAGGTTCCGATGAGACAGAAAGACGCCCTTCACTCGCCCTGTAGTGCCTGACGAGTAGAGAATCGCCGCCGAGTCGGTTTGGTTGATTTTAACGTCGGCGACACCATCCGAGCGATTGCTTTCAGTCATCATGGAGAGAAACTCAGGCGAATCTATCAGGATTTTCCCAAGCTTCCTTGGGAGCTTGGCCGCCGTTGAGGACGTAGCGAATGCAATGACCGGTTTACTGAGTTGAACCTGGTGAGCAATCTCCGACTCGGAACCAGTTGGATTAGCCGGAGAGATAGTGACGCCGATGGATAACAGAGCGAAATACAACACAGGAACTTGCAGAGAAGTCGGTGCAAGAATAAAAGCCACTTGACCACTGGACAGTGATGTGAGAGCTTTGAGATTAGCGGAGAGATTTCGGATTTCACGGAGGAGAAGAGCGTAGGAGACATGGACGCCGGAGTCGAAGTCGACGAGAGCGGTAGTGTTCGCCGGAGGAGGGGAAGATTGTACGAGAGAAAGGGCATGGTCAGTAATGGAGAGAGGCTGAGGTATCGGCGGGAGCGAGAGCGGTGGTCGGAGACTGTGAAAAATCTTGGTCTGAGGACAGAAACCGCTCCGAGGATCCACAAAATGGGCGGCGGAGTTGAGGTTGGGATTCCGATCCGCCATGGAAATGGAGCTCGGAAGAAAGTAGTACGTGGCTCAACGTAGTCCTTGCAAAATAAATGGGCGGGACGAAGACGATTTGCAAATACACAAAATATTGGGTTTGATTATTTATTGCAATTACACAAAGCTTTCACTGTTCTTCCTCTCTGCTTGATGGCTCCTGTCATATCATGTCATAAAGTTTTACACCTTTAATGGAAACATACTTTTTAAAAGTAGTTTTTGGTGTCTTTCTAGTTTCTACTTCTCATTATGATTTCTAGATATTTGGAGCTCCAATAATTTTATATTTTAATTTTAACCCTGCTGTAAATAATGATTGGAATACATTATTTTCAAAAAAAAAAATTAATAATGATTGGAAGACATGAAAACTTGCGTCGTGTTTTTTATAATTTGCATTATTTACTTGTTCGGACGTAATTCGACTAGACAAAATATTTTTTAGTAATTTGATAATTAAAATGTTAATAATCATCAGTTGAATTTTGGAATTCTCGCATGGTTGTTGTAATGTTGTATGCTTAAAAAGATAGCTAACAATAGATTGGTTAAATAAGAGAGCATATTTTAATAAATTGAGTTATCTTCAGATTAGTTATTTTAAAAATATTATTCATTTTACTGTGAACTAACAAAATAAAAAAACTACTTTTTTTTTGTAAAAAAAAAGCTTATTTCACTTTTGTTTGATTTATTAAAAAGTACTTTGTAATCCACTTTTATTTTTAATTAAAAATATACATAATTAAACAACATTGTTTTTTTAGTTTGAAAAAATATTTAAATTTTACTTTTCTAAAAGTCGAAAACTGAAAATAGCAATTAATAGGTAGACAATTTTTAATTTTAAAACCAAAATAGTTATGAATATATAACATTTTGAGGTGAGAAACCAATTTTAAAGTTTAATCAAAATCAAACCACTACAATTTAAGGATGGTAATCATTTTATAATAGTTCAATGTTTTTTATAGTACAGTGTAGAAGTTGAAATTTGAACTCACATTGTTTTGATTAATTGAATTATGTTAGTTATAAGTATCTTGTCTAAATTGGACTGAAAGTATTTTGTTATTACTTTTTTTTTATAGATTGAAAATTATTTTTTTTTTAAGTACAACATGTGATGGAGATTAAACTCACAACTTTTTAGTTTTAGATATCACAATTACCACAAGTAATATTTATGACATGAAGCTACCATCATTTTTGTATATATATATTTGTTTTTGGAATACGAAGATACAAAAATTAGCCCTATTTAACATGTGAACGACATAGAATGGTATGATAAGTAATGGTTCATAAATTATTGTTAAACAAAATAACAATAAAAAAAAAAGAGTAGCCACATTGAATTCATCAACGACCTACGATACGAGTATAAGATCGCCTTTCAATACAACTTTGGTCATGTCTAATATATAAGGCTAAATTGTTAATTGTGTCTAATAGGTACTTTAATTTTAAAAATTGTTTAACTAGAGTCTAATTTTTCATGTTTCATTTGTGTGTATTATAGATAATTAAGAGCTTGTTTTGTAACAAATTTTCACGTTGAGTAATACCATATGCCGTGTCAGCACACTTAATTTGTCAGTTTTAGATTTGCCATTTGTCCACGTCATAACTAGTTTTTTTTTTTTTACATTCCTATTTTGAACATAACTCGTTCGTTTGAACTTCATTTCAAGTGATTTAAAGTTCTGTTTCATAGATACCTCCAAACACTAAACTTGTTATTAAATCAAATATATATTAAATTTATGATATTCAATAATAATTTTAACCTGCAAAATATAACTAACACTAAGTATGTTTTTATTATTAAAATGTTAATTAATTTAATTAAATTACCCGAAATTAAGGCTCCATAAGTCAATTGGGTGTTTATGGAAAATGCTTCCTCTCTCTCCCCCCTCATTTAACGTTTAGATGACGGGACAAAGTACCTTCATCCCTGCCCATGAAAAACCTAAATATGGATTATAGGATTTTTTTTAATAAATAGATAAATTAATAAAAATATGATAATAAATTAATTCAATTATATGTTTTCAGTATTTTCCCTATAAATATCACAATTATTTTTTGCAAAACCAAACCCTACCTCAAATCAAATCGCCAAATATGTCTAATAGTTCTTAATTTTTTAAGATTATTTTCAATTTAATTCTTAATCTCTTAAAATTTTAAAATTCACCTTAATATATTAAAAATAGTTAAAATAGTTAACAAGGTATTTTCATAAGAAGTTATCATTAAACTAATATTTTATCAATATACTAAGACATTTAAAAAGAAAAAAAGGAAAAAAATTAGACTTGTAGACAATCACTTGGATTTTATTTGATACACAAAATTCAATTTGTCCACCAACAAAATTCATTAATTTTAAAGTTCAAGCTTCAAATATCATTACATACTAATGGTCTTGATTCAATAATTTTTATGAATTGTACGTTTAATAATAAAAAATAAAGTATAACAAAGATGGTATCATTTGATAATTTGTCAAATAATGTATTCATTTTAAAATCTTAGACATGCTTTTTAAATTATACAACAAAAGCAACAATTTTTCAAAATAAACACCAAAAACAAAAAATATAATAATTACCGGCATGAGCTATGGCGATATATATATATATTTTTGTTTTGAAACAAGCTATGGAGATCTTAATTGTTTTTATAAAGCTGGACGAATCTCATATCTTTGCTTAACTAAACAAACTATAATATTTAATAGCTTTTAAGAAAGAGAAAAAATGAGTAGAAATTTGATCTCACGTCATTATTTTATTAGAAATAGATGTCTTAACCATATGTATTTATATTAATTTCAAAATAATTCTCAACCATAGTTAATCAATTTGAATCCATTTGGTAACATTTCTATTTGTTATTTCTGTTTCCACTCTTTTTAATAAAGAAAAATAAAATTGTATTAACTTTAACACACGTAGATCCAAGAACGATAAAACAAAATTTTTATTTATGTTAGGAACAAAAATAAAAAATTTGTTTTTGTTATTTACAAAATTTCTAGAAATTTTAAGGCGGTTTTTAAAAAATGAAAAACAAGAAAATAAATAAAATTTTAGATTTTTTAATAAAATTGAAACGTAAAAACAAAAAACAGGTTAACGAACGAGCCATTGTTTCCTCTGTTTAGAAGGATGCAGAACCCATGGGTTTGGTTAGATCATCGGTGCTGTACAAGTCAGATCGAGTCGAACCGCATATATGAAAAACTGAAAAATATCGGTTTGATTTTCGGTTCAGTAGAAACCGAAAAATCCGAACCGTTGTTCACCCGTGGTCCGTGGATGTCTTTGGTAGGGTTTATCAGTTATCAATTCCTGCAAATACAAAGAGTCTCAATCGCTTACGCTCAACTGGTGTGCAAAAAATGCCTCGTACAACGAAGGTTGATTGCCCTGGTTGTCCTCCGCTTCGTGCCCTAACGTTCGATGTGCTTGGTCTCGTTAAAGGTAATAATGTTACGTAAACTACTGTATCGCAATTTTCTCTCAATTTTCTTTCAAATTTGTTTTTTTTTCCGGCACTGCACAGTGATCGAAGCTCGGGGGAAGGAAGGGGAGATTCCAAAGGTGGTTGAGAGGTGGGGCGAACCCGATTTCTCCAAATCAGTGCTCGCAGCTTCTCTTGTTGATCGTAAATTCGATCCTGTATGTATCTTCTTTGGCTCTCTTCAAACCATTTAGTGTATCCCATCTTCTCTTTTGAATGTTATAGAACGTAATACTTTTTATGTTGTTGTAGTTGGTATCTAAGTGTGGATTCATGTTTAGTGATTGAGCTGGAAATAGATGAGTTGGCTCCATGAGTGCGACTAGGATATAGAAACTAGAAATCAATATTAGTATGCTTTACTGGCTGTGAGTGTGCTTTGTTTTTGTGGTCTTACAAGTTACATGATGTCGAATACTGAACGAAGTAAATTCATTATGCATTCTGTTGGATAAGCAACTTCCTTTATTTGATTTTGAATAAAATTTACATGTCAGATGACATATATTGGGCTCGATGGAAGATGATGTCTTTAGCTTTTTTCATTTAAGGTCAATCCAGATACTACATTTTCTTAATGCACCAAATAATTCCCTTTTCATTGTTTCTTGCAGTTACTAGCTGTTGCACGGAAAGATGGTCTGGTGAGTTACTTGTTCTGATTTCTAGTATTGTGAATCTTGCACACATTTATTGAAATTTAAATATATCATTGCCCTGTTTTTTAATCATTTTCCTACTGTATGCTGTAGATTGAAGTTCTTAATCCTTTGAATGGGAATCCTCACGCTGCAATTTCTGACAATACGGATGCCTCTCCTCTGTCAAAAGATGATGCTATTATTGGAATACATTTATTTGCTAAAAATGAGTTGGAGTTGGAATCCAGGTTATGTATCAATTTATAATTTGTGATTTTCTATTACAATTTGATAGAAGTGCAAAAGGTATCATCCTTTTGTTATTCATGAAATACAAATACTTTGCCTCGCTGGCTAAACATTTATGCTGAAGTTCCTCTCAGTTTGATTATTTATTTTTAGGCGTTGCACCTTGCTTTCATGTACAACAAAAGGAAATGCAAGCATGAGGTCGATTGATTTTTCTAGTTCATCTTCAAAAGTTACCTCTACCAATCTTTTAAAAACGTGGAACGTATGTGGTTCGGGTGATGTTACGTGTTCTAAAGTTGATGGAAGTGAAACCTATGCATTATTTGGAGGGTGAGTTGAGATCATGTTGGAATTTAAGTGACTACATATTGACATTAATGACCCTTACCTTTTTGTATGCTCAGGAAGGGTGTTGAAGTTAATATGTGGAATCTAGAACAGTGTACTAAGATTTGGAATGCAAAATCAGTATGTTTCCGAGTCCTCCTTAGCACATTTATATACAAAGCAGAAAACCTGTTTCTAGAGAATGTTTTTTATTATCTCTTATATAAAAAAAAGAGAATGTTTTTTTATTTCATTTGAAATATTTTGAAATTTTACAGCCGAAAAAGAACAGCCTTGGTATTTTTACCCCAACATGGTTCACATCAACGACATTTCTTAGTAAGGATGACCACCGTAAGTTTGCATCTGGTACCAACAACCACGAGGTAATTCATATCAAGTTCTCATGCTAATACAAGTTTCAGAGTAGGAAATATATTGCAGGATAATTATATCTTAAGCAATGCAACTAGGGCGTTCTACATAATTGTTTTTGAAGTACCTCTAAGGAGATTGCTGAATTACATGGGAGTCCTAGAGACAAAATTGCAAGGAAATAAGTTATTAATAAGTTGAACAAATAATGTTTATATTTTTTTGATTTCTAATTTTCTACTTAAAGTATTCTCAATACTTTATTTTGAGCCTTAAAGAGAATCATTGATACTGATTATAGGTGAAAGCATTACAACTCTTGTACGATGTATATAAATATTCTTTTTATTTGAATTTGTGTATCCAGTATGATATTGCCTGGATCTTAAAATTGATGATGTTAACCATTTATCTTGATATCCAGGATATTATGTCACTGATTTTATTATTATTATTTTATTTGGGGGTGGGGGTGGGGGAGGGGGTTGGTCTTATTTCTCATTCCATAACTTGAATTTCTGGTTAAACAATACAGGTTCGACTATATGACATCTCTGCTCAGAGGAGACCTGTTATCTCATTTGATTTTCGGGAGACTCCTATTAAAGCTTTGGCAGCAGATGTAGATGGTAATACAATATTTGTGGGGAATGCATCTGGTGATCTCGCATCTTTCGATATTCGCAATGGTAAAATTTGTTATGTATCAAAGTTATTGCTCTTTCTGATTTAATATTCCGGGTGTTCTATTTCTTTTGCACAGTACTCTTGTTTCAGAAAGTTAAATTCTTAACTTATGTGGGTTCCTTCTTCCTTGCACCTTTTATTTAGAGAAGATTGGTTCTTGTAGTGGATGGAGTCTAGCAATGGATGATTTATTATAGATCCTACTATATTGCAATGATTTATTTAAAAGTGTCTTGCTTCACTACATATTTTAGCATAATTTGAAATGTATGTGAAGCAGTCATAGTGCCTTAATTATTTTAGCTGTAAATGCACAAAGCTGTGAGGCCGTACATTTTAATGAATTATGAGTCAGGAAGTTTGAGCATGCTGCTGTTAGGCCCCGGATTGTGAATACTTGTGAGAAGGGGTAAAGAGGGAAATTCTCCACCCTATGACAGTTAGGGTCCTTGTTGTACGTTTTGTCTTCTTAGGCAGTAGGGGATATATGTTAGTTGTCATAGGTTTGTATGGGTATGCTTTGTTAATTGTTTTGTGTTCAGTCAAGAAGTGGCTAGTGTTCAGAGCTCCAGCCCTTTCGAATAGGCTGTGGAACCCTTGTATTGGTTGGATGCATTTGAACTTATTTTGAATATTATTTAGCAAGGAAGATACCTTACAGCTGCCTTATATTTTTACACAAGGTTTGGGTCTGTATCCTGATTCAAGTTTGACCTTTAGAATCCTCCGTACTGGGATTGACACCATGATCTTTTACCATCTCACTGTTGCATGGTTACTTCAATACCGTGAACTACATTACAGATGTCACCTTTTCCTTGTTTCTTTATAACAATGGAAGTAATAGAAGAGGGAGATGGAGAGCAATTTTCTCTAACATTTTTGTAATAGATCTCACTTCTACCAAACAGAGAACTGCACTCTAGACTGCCACCTATATTCTTTAGAAGGGAAAACATACTCTCTCTATGCCACCCAGTTCATTCTCCTTTGTAGACATTCAAGTCCTGGTGGTAGTACTCAAGCTTTTTGTTTCACATTCAGCCTAAAATCCATTATAATTTTTTTGATGTCTGTTGGGATCTATTGTTGGGATCTATTAGACTGCCTGAGAGTCGCTGAGATTTTATAGATTACGTTTGCACTAGTACCACTATGATAGTTGTAAATAGCAGTTAATTGAAGTATTTTTTTGTATGAGTACATTTATGATTATGTGCAATGCTTTTTTTATTTTTTTTTTCTTGACTTGTTTCTCACAGGTGAGCTATTGGGTTGCTTCTTGGGGAAATGTTCTGGCAGCATAAGATCCATAGCAAGGCACCCAGAGTTCCCGGTCATAGCATCATGTGGTGGGATATATTCTCAGACAATTATTTTAGCATTTCTCTTTGACCTCTGTCTGCTGCTACGCATGAAAACCTTGCAAGGACTTTGTTTCTCTTTTAACTTGCTTTGAAACGTCCATGTAAGAATATGTGGGCATTTATTTCCTCCCTGCATGACAAGCCATACCCACCTTTTATGCCAAAAAACTAACATTTTCATTACTTTCTTTAAGTGGGCTGATTTGGAAGAAACAAAAGAAAAATTATTGCCTTAAAACTTATCTAAAACCACGTTATGACTCATTTGTACGAACTAGAATTACAAGTACTTGTTTTCTTTAATATTTCAGTTCATTAACTAGTGTTGAATCCGGTGGATAATGTGCAACAGGATTAAAGCAGCCATTTTAGGAAGTCTAAATCAGCTTTTCATACTAATTTTCATCGTCATCATTCCCTTCCTTACACATTTCTGTACTAATATAAGTATTTTCTTTTTCTGCCATAGCTAGACCGATTTAAACTCTGCTATGCAAAACTGAGAGACTAGAATAATAAAAGATCCTTTCCTACTTTAATGTGGAATCTAATTTTATGGGTCATGTTGAAATCTTTTTCCAGGATTAGATAGCTATGTGCGCTTCTGGGATATTAAGACAAGGCAACTTCTGTCTGCGGTAAGTTTCCATAATTCTTGTAAAAATAAGTTGTTTTTACATGTATCATTCAGAAAAAAACTGTATACAAGAAAGTTTTCTGACATCTTGGCAGTTGCTTCTTTTAGTAGGAATAGTGATGAATGGAACTTATATTCTATGAGGTCAAAGTTCTAAGCATGAGTGCAGATCTACTAAATAGCTTCCTAGAAAACGTAATAGGATCCAATTCATAAAATAGAGGTTTATTTGATGTAGCCTACGGGATAGTACACTCTAAATGAGAAAATGAGTATTTCTGGCACTGTATTCATGACCCACGTCCTTCAGCTGATACTAAATATATATTGCATCTTGTAAGATCAATCGAGAATTATAACAATTTCAATGTTTCTTACTTTTTTTTTTTGCCACACAATGTTTCTTACTTGAAACTACTTAAGCATCTACTTGATAATGCGGCTAATAATGTTTAAAGTGCAAAATGGGAAAGAAAAAGATAGAGCGTACGTTGCATATATGTAAGTTGGGACAACATACCATTATTATATTTGTCTTCATCTGTGTGCAGGTATTCCTAAAGCAGCATCTTACCAGTGTTGTCTTTGATTCCCATTTTGTTGGAGAAGGTCAGATTCTCTGATCCACACTTTCCCTAACTGTACCGTCAAATTAATGTTTGGTATTGAATTCATCTTTTATGTTAGGGCTTGTTTTTAGTTTGTGTTGCATCACTGCATTTTGTTTAGTTCTAACACAATTCTCCTAAACTACAAATTACTCATTGAAAAGCCCTTTGTTATATCTATTTGATCATTATCTAATTTATATTTGTCTGAGCAGATGTAACAAACTCTGCAGTAGAGTCAATCCAACAGGAAACAGACGCAGCCGAAATTGTCTTTGAGGAGGAAAATGTGCCTCAGAAAAGAAAAAAGGCATCTAAAGATGGAGAAAGCGGAAATAGAAAAGGTAGCAAGACTGCAGACAAAGAAAACAAAAAGAAAAAAAAGAAGTTACATGGCGAAACCGAAAATAAGCAGAGGTAGAAATTAAACTCTAAGAAAGGGAGAAAGAGTTTTAAAAACAAGATTGTTCTTGAGAAAAGGAGAAAGGTGGTTCTTGGTTGGATCTGTACAACCGGCAGATAGAGTTATAAATTGGAGGGTAGAAGATGCCATTTAAGTTATATCTGCTCGACAATGCTTTAAATTTTGGCCCAAACTATAATTTACACTCGAAAGGCTCGGAGTTTTGTCCATTGGAAGCAGTCCGACCATGCCCCACTTGGGTTCCCCTGTATCAAATATCAATATATTTTTCATATTACAAGTAGTTTGAAGTGTTTTGGGTAGGAATCGTATACTGTTTTAGATTGGCCCCATGAATTTTGGAATCTTGTTATTGGAAAGTTGGGGCAGCCTAAATTATGAGGTCATCAATTTTGGAGAACAATTGAATCAGTCCTTGAAATAGTATTTTTTTATATGGTAAAACATAACACCTATTTGTATTTGTTAGTTCAATATATTGACATTGATCAATAGATTTCTGGAAATGCTATCTTTTTGCTCTATCCATGTTACACTGTTTCAAGACAAATGATCCAATAAGCCTATGTTCTTAATTCACCCGCATTGACAATGTAACTACAGGCGCTTTATTGAAGAAATTAGCCAATTGGTGTCATTTACAATCATCACTGCAGTAAGCTTAGCCAGCTCTGCCTTAGAACTTTTGGGTAATATTATTTATTTGAACTTTTTGGCCATTTTCTCTGTAATTTTCCATCCTATTAGTATATTCTATAATGGAGTTACAACTATACTATCTCTCTTGTGTCGGGATTCAAGTTTAAGTATGTCATGAACTGAAATGATATTGGTAAGTTTCTATCTAATTAGCAAAGTTGATACTGTGTTTGCACATGCATTCTGGCACAGGATATGCAACAACGTCGCGATCTTTTCTCTTCGTTCTTGGTTCAGGCTGTCCCTGAGATTGTTTGTGCACCTTTCTCACAATGCTTCCCAATTCTGCATCAGAAATGGATGCATCATCAAAGTAATCGAGCATTGCTCGTTTATTTGGCTTGATGTACTTCCTATGTCCCACATAGGCACGATGCCCCTATAGCCAAAATAAAGATCAACATCAAGAGAATCAAAATTGGAACTCTAGTCAATTTCTGGGGAAGCATAAAGAAGTCTGAATCGAGTAACCTGCATAGCTCGACCCATGTTTCCACCGTGTGATGGCATGAAGACATCGCTGCTCAAGGACACGATGTAGTCGATGGCAGCCATAGCAGATGACTTGTTGATGAAGGGTGAAAGCTCTTCTTCTCTTGCCAGTGTGTACTTAGTCACTATATTTGGGAATTCTGCAATTAGTGGTTGCAGAGCCTTCTTCCCTCCAAATGGCTCTCCTCCTGCTGTGTAAATCCTTGATTGTTTTGGCGCTCCAAGAGCCTTTAGGAGCCTACAGTTATCAGATAAGCAATCAATTTCTTCCTACTCAAAGTTCTTCAAGTCTCAGTTTCTCTGTTTACCTAGCAATCTCCATGGCATTTAAGGGGCATAATCCGGCACGCCTTCGTTGAACATGACTCATGTTTATCCTTCCCGTAAGATACTCCGGTTGCGAATTCCGAATTTCGGAAATGACAGCGTCATAATCCGAGCCCAAACCGGTATGACAACCAGATCTAACCCAAACATCCTTCTCTAAGCGGAGATGGAGGGCAATATATGGACCTTCAATCCACATTCTTCTTGTTAGCTGGTTTCCAAGCTCCTGAATTGGAGCTGAGAATTTTAGTGCATGGAATGCAACCTGATCACAGAATTGAAGAGAAAGTTTAAGTAAATACGAAGCATTCATTCAAATGTCAACTCACAAATTCATGCTATAAAGTTTACCTTACATTTGAGCTTCTGCAGATCAAAGGGAAGATTCTTTGAGAGCTTAGAGTCCAACCCATTTAACACAAGAACCCCTTCCTTTATGAGCTACAAAAACCACAGAAAATCTAATAATCTAAGGCCATTAACTGAAAAATTTTCTCAACTTCCAATTTCAAATGCAGCAGACGACAATATTGGAAGAGATTCTTACTTGGGTTCTAAATCTTGCACGAATCCAATGAGGGGAAACATCATGAGGAATCTTGGTCTCTCTGGACTTGAAATGCTTCGAGGGAAGAGAAGACACAACTCGAACATCGGCTCTTAACGTCTTCTTGAAATGTTCCACATCAAAAATGTCCGAAAATTTACTGCAAAATTAGCGAAAACCCAGTATAGAAGATCAAACATTTCATGTTTCTGTTCTTTTGGATCCCATCTCATCCTATCAAATTCTTTTGAATCTCCTTTCGGATCGAGGAAACAGCTCTCCCACCCCAAAAAGAAAGGTAAAGAGAGTTACCTTTCATCTTTCCATATGAGATTGACCTTCAAAACAGGGACAACAAGTGCTGCCTCAAGAATTCTAGCAATCACAACAGCATCAGCAATCTGATTCCTCTGCTGGTTCAATCCTCCTGAAACCATCACCATCAAGAATCTTCTCTTCTCTTTGGAAATCTTGGCAGATGCTTTCCTATATTCAATACTGAAATCCAGACATGGCCTGTAGCCTTCTCCATCAGGCTGCTTCCAGAACTCTCTCTCCTCATCAGAAAGTTCCGCAGCGACTCCATGGGCCGGCAACGGCACCATCACACTGGTCGATAGCTTGGGCAATTTCTCGGGATTCGAAGCGACTGGAGAGAGCAGCGATAGGAGAAGGCGAGACTGAGCAGAGGACATTGAAGGGAAGGAAATGGAGGACGGGGGAGAACAGGGGTCTGAAGAAAATGGGGAGGTGAGGAGGAAATTGAGCGTGGAGATTCCCAAGAAAGCGAGAGAAGTGAGGAGAGAGAGAAAGAAGAGGGAGAGATAAGGGGTTGGGGTTTTGGGGAATTTCTTGGGGGAGAAGAGGGAAGCGAGAATGGTGAGCGAAAGCAAACCGAAGAATGGTGGTGGGTTCAGCGTGGAGAAGGAGCTCCTGCTGTTTCTTGATCTGGTCATGGATGGAACTTGAAATAAAGAGCTCAAGAACAAGGAATCCAGAGGTCGGAATGAAGATTATGAGAAATGGGTTCTTGAATTTGGGATCAAACATCAAGGTTTTGAATCGAGAGGCCAAAATATAGAATATGAGAAATGGGTTTTTGAATTTGGGGACTTTTTGATCGGATGCAACTCAAGAGGGAGCCATTGACGGTTTTTTCGGTTGAAGATGACCTTTCAAATTTCGCGGCAAAATGATGAGCGTCTAAAGAGTGAAGACTGAGGCCCATTAATTTAGGAATGTGGCCCAATCCAAAATATTTTACAAATTTATCAGAATCAATCTTTCACGCCTTTATTCTTCAACCATCGTAATTTTGATGGATTTTTGTATTTAATATGTGTAAATGTAGATGAAGGTTCACTGTTAAGTCCGACAAGAATTTAGTCCAACATAGTTCTAATGTTTATATCACACCTGTTTGATAAAGTTATGATTTGTTGTTTCTTAGTTCATGTTTCCAATTTTCAGAAGATATATAGATGTTTCTTGTTTTCAGATTCATTAAATTAAATAAATTTAATGAATATAATAGTGAAAAATATGAAATTAAAACATGTAATATTACATTTTCGGTGTTTTCAGATTTTAAATCCAAAATTTTAAAATGCGATTAATACACAATTTCATGTTATAAACTTGTTAAAATTAAAATATGTAAAATATAATATATTACAAAATATTAATTCTAACAAAATTTATAAAATTTTAGATTAGACTAAATATTTAGTTGGTAACCAATAACTTACCAATATATTACAAAACATTATGAATTTATTTCTTTTAAATTAAAATTCAATTTTCAAATTTCCCATTTCTAAAAAATGTTTCCAAAGTTGGATAGAAATTTTAAAAATTTCAAAATAAATAGATTTTTTTTGTAACATTCTCGTTTCTTATTTCTCATTTTCAATTTTATTAAGAAATATAAGCATTCGACAACTATTTATGTTTCTTATTTCTCATTTTTTTAAAAAAGTAGAAATTTTGAAACAGGTTCCTTATTTTTTATTTCCATTTTCAATCTGTTCCAAATTATAATAAAAATATTATTTTATCACTCCTGAATCCATAGTGTTGGGGCATGCAATTATGTTTAATAAAAAAAGAAATAAAAACATTACCAAAAGCCAAATAGGCACAAAAATTCTTGTTTCTTATTCCAGTTTCAGTTTTTTCCAAAATATAAACCAAACATTATATAGATTTATAAAATGCATAATAAATATTAAAAAAAATAAATATAACATAAATGTTTTTAATATTTAATTTAAAAAAATTAACTTTTATATAAAACTTTTAGTATACTTTTTGAAGTGAAACATGTATCTTATTTTAACTAAAAAGGAAAACAGAAAAAAAAATAGTAAATAATTATCCAATGAAATTATATTTCTTTTATTAAAGGATAAACAAAAAACCAGAAATAAAAAATAAGAACATTACCAAACAAAACCCTTACGATTTACTCTATGTATTTGTCCTTACGATTTACTCTATGTATTTGTGTAATGTGTTACTATGGTTGCCATGTGATTAGCACGACGAGACAATAATCCCAAACCAAGCCCAGACAATACTACGTGAGATAAACCATTTCTAGTAAAAGGCTTTCAAGAGATAAACCATTTCTAGTAAAAGGCTTTCAAATGCAAAAA